TATTATCTATTATTATAAAAAAGCATATTAAAGAATTGTGGAAAAGGTCTAGCATATTATACGAACGATCAAGGAGTCATAAAGGGTTAAAAATTTAATTATTTTAATTGAATACAAAAGTAATACGTAAAGTGGATTTTTATAAGAACGCAAAAGTTACCAGCAATGGCGAACTACACAATTTCCTTATCAGTCAAAGCAATGATTGCAATTATATTACGTATATCATAGACGTTGTTTATAAACATATCATTTTGAAGGCAAGTCCACGAGTCCCATAAATGTACCTACATTTAGCAACAAATGGAAAATTGCGTTGTTAAATTTGAATTTTTTTAAATACTTATAAATTCGACGGCTGCGTTTTATTTATTATTATTATTATTACGATAAAAAGTTGCAAAGAAATTCGTCTAGATAATTTCATCAGAAAGTGGGTAAACCGAAGGAGTCGGAGGAGACGGCCACGACGGGGAGGCGTTTTTCATTTCACGGCACTCTTGGTTCGACATTCACAATCGGGTCTTTGATCAAGTACGTTGGAAACTTAACTCATACTCGTTCCGTGTTTAAATTGCATCAGATTATATTTTGAATAATCACAGTAAAACTTTTGTACACGAAAATAGGCTATCAGCGACCGCGATTTAATTAAAAAAAGTTGATGTAAAACAAACAAACGCGAGTTACCATTTTCGACAATTAAAGAAAAAATAAAAACAAAAGCCATAACAATGCCGTTCTTCAAGAAATGGAAAAACAATTCCAAACACCGGAGTAAGTACAATTTTTTTATAATAATATATTCTATTTAAATTTAAATACAAATAGATATCAAGCGAGTGGTTTTGTTTTGCACGAATTCTATGCATGACTGTTTGACCATGATTTGTGTACCTTTAGTGTTTTGTTTTTGTTGGCACAAATTTGTCATTACCTAAGCGTTCTTTTTCTTTTGTATCAAAAGTCCACGCTTCGTCGATAATTTATTATTCGCTATTCAACAGGTGGAAAATACATTTATATACTCATTTTTTTTACGAAAACTATTTCGTTTTGAAACGGATAAACAGATATAAAAAGAATGCCAACTTTTTAAACTAAATTAAAATCACGAAGAAACTTTTTCTGTAAGATATTATTGTTTTTTGTGTGATAGTTTTTTGTTATTTAACAATAAAAAACTAGTTCGTGTATTGTCCGGCAAACAACGGAGCGGATTTTGTAAAAATTTATGTTCAGAGGAAGAGAAATTAGAACTAGGAATAAATTTGAATGCAAATTACTACTAATTTACAATAACAAAGAAAATATGTACGTACCAACATATTTATTACAAAACTCTGGACGTGATTTCAATCTTATTTGAATTCATCAGGGCGCCATAGGTAGTCTCGATAAATCATCTTTTGAAAAATATAACGTAGTATAGGGAAATTCGTACAAATTCGTTCAAATAAATGATAAAATAATTAAGGTAAGTCCAATAAATGTAAATTAAAACTACTGAGGGATGTTATGCTTTGTTAAATTAAGGGTTCGGTTAGTTTGTTGTAGTTTGACATAAAAAGAAAACATGCCGACAAGGAAATGTGTAACATTTGAAATAATTTAATTAACAACAAGTATCAGAAGATGGTTACTACATACTGTTTAAATATGACAAAAGAATATTATTGAACGGGGTCGACAAGTGAATAAAAAGAAACGCGTTCTAGCTTAATTAGGCATGGAAATGTCATTTTACAAGCTTTTAATTAGATGAAATACCGGAACACCTGTTTTTAGCGGAAATTGATAATGCTTCCAATTCCTTACGCATTATTAAAATGTACGATAATTACAAAAAGGTTCTTCCAGGAAATAGAGGAAATTTGTCTCATTTTGTATACGATTATTTCGAAGAATTGATGCTACGGCTTAGCTCACGTTTGCCACGTTTTTAATATTTTTACACAAAGCACAACTTGGATTAGAAAGTTTTATTGAACTAATCGTAAGTAGCCTTTAATCGGCAAATAAAAACATTGAGAACAATCGCGAATGTTAAAATATACAGGGCGATTGTGTACAACACATTTCATTATCATAAAGTCGTCAGTCCTAAGACTGGTTGGACACGTACCTCCACTTTTTCCTATCCTGAGTCAATCTTCGCATTTCCCTAAAACTAGAACAACCACATCCTTAACCATTTGCGAACAGTAATCTAACCTAGGTCTACCTCTACCCCTTCTAACTCCTGTTTCTGCCTCTAATATGTCTCTGACTAGACCATTTCCCTAAAACTAGAACAACCACATCCTTAACTATTTGAGTAATCTAACCTAGGTCTACCTCTACCCCTTCTAACTCCTGTTTCTGCCTCTAATATGTCTCTGACTAGACCTTCATGTCTGAGAAGGTGTCCTACCAACCTATCTCGCCTATTTCTTATTAACTTCCATAGAGTCCTCTGTTCTCTGTTCTCCTATTCATTCTATTATCTCTTCATTTCTAACCTTTTCTATCCACGTTATCTTCATCATTTGCCTATAACACCGCATTTCGAACGCTTCTAACCTTTTCTTTTCCATGTTTCGCATCCGTACAACGCCGCGCTCCAAACATACGCCTTTAACAACCTTTTTCGAATTTCCAAATTACTTATTTTTATTAAAGGCGACACGACCCTGCGCTATCCTCTGCTTTATATCCCTACTACTCCTTTCGTCCTGACTTATCTGACTTCCTAGATATCTGAAATCAGCCACTTCTTCTAATTTTTCGTCTCCTATCTTTATATTCGCTCTTTTCCTATTTTTTCTTCCCTTGCATACCAGTATTTTAGAAATAAATAATACCTTAGTTCTTGAACTTTGCATTCGATAACGATAAATATTAAAATAACTAATTAGTTCTCATTCTCATTAACCATCTCGAATCAGCGCAGTTTATGCAACCAAACATACAAAATGTGTTCGCAGCGAATGATCTTAGTCTTCCTTTGTGTTTATTAGCTAATCACTACGTTGATTTATGAATTTAATAGGCTTTATGAAAATAAAATTATTGTAGTATGTATTTGTTATTGTACACTCTTCAAATTTACTTTGCGACTACTTTCATTGTTTGTTGTTACTTTCTCGTTGCGGATTGTTATATTCCAGTCACTTTTACGTATGTACATTTTAATTACACTTACTATTACGCGTTCGTATAAAGTAATTCATATTAAATACCCATTTTGTTGATAATTGCTGTCTTGTAACATGCCAGCCTCATTTCTCCAGCAAAATTATTGGTTATACGGATTATCCGATGAAGGTTTTTCTTATTTGCGACTAGCAGGTATTGCAACCGATATGGAATTTACCATTTTACGGACCTGACGGTAACTCGCTAAGGATATTGCATCATAACCAACAGGTATTCATTAACAAGCAATTAATAAGGTCTCTAATACAATTAAAATGAATTTTAGAGAAATAGGGCACAGTTATAATAATATAAAGAATGAGTTAGGAGTCATTTTGTTAGAAATGGGGAAAACGCGGAAAAGAATTTTTAGAAAATCTATACGCAGAACAAGAGTTATTATAGGAGATGTTTTAGGAAACGAAGCCATCGTGTAGGTATTAGATGAACTAGGATATCCCATAATGAGAGAAGATTTTGAGTTACCATTAAAAAATTTAAGGAATAGTAAGGTCACCAGGTATAGATATAAAACCCTTCAGAATGCTAAGCAATTGATACTACAGTTTCTCAACCATGAAGGGCTAGTTAGAGACATATTAGAAGCATAAATGGGAGTTATGAGGGGTAGAAGTGACCTAGATTAAATTACTGATTACAAATAGTTAAAGATGCAAGTTTCTTGAGTTT